CTGCAGAACTGCAGTCAGCTGAAGTAGCCTGCAATGCTGCATTTAACCACTGCGCCACCTCGGCTCTCTTTCCCCTTTTGCATTCTTTTTCCTTGACTTGAATTAAATAAATTCCTATTTTTGCTAACATAACTACCACTTCTTAGAGTGGAATATGAATATTCCCTTCCAAGTCATTTAAATGTATTTCTTACCATCACATTCTGTCTTTTTGATACTTAAGATCTTATAACTATTTTCCATTGTTTTCCTTTAGGCTAAAGAAGTCCATTCAATGGGCTTCAGGACTATGTGGATTTGAACTGAAATCTGAGATTAATAAAAAAAATAGTTTGGTTTTTAATGAGGGTATGACATGGTGTAAACATATTTGCACAGGCACACCAAAATCTATGTTGCAATGGATTAATGGCCTATTTATGAGTTTGTAATAAAACAAGATAAAGCAAGATGCTAAAAAAACCTAGCACATCTCTTAGTTTGGTCTTGCTTAAGCACCAGACAAGAAACCAGGAGATTGTGAGTTCTAGTCCCACTTTAGGCATGAAAGTTAGCTGGGTGACTTTGGGCCAGTTGCTCTTTCTCAGCCCAGTGTTGTTGTTGAAAAAATTAGGAGGAATGTGTTGGATATGTTCCCTGCCTTGGATTTATAAAAATAAAGGTAGTAAAAAAATACATCTAATCACTTCCTTCAGCAGCAAAATTCCTCCATACAGGTAGTCCTTGAGTTATGAAAATTAGGATCTGAAATTTTAATGTTGAATGAAGTTGTCATTGAGATGCCCCTGTGACCGCTCCATTAGATGGCAATCCTGGCTCTCCCATTGCAGTTGTTACACAATTGCAGGGCGGGGGGTGTTTAAAGGGATGGTAAACCCCTGGTGCTCACTGGCATGCAGAAGTCTGCCATGAGCAGGGAATTCATGGCCTCCTCATCCCATTATGCTGAAGGATTCATTCCCTGTCCCATGATTCCTGGATCTTTTTACTTTTGCCTTTTTATCCAGCTGCTGAGATATGCCCAGCTGATTTGAGTCACAATTAGAAGCTAGCAACAGGATCTTTAAGGCTAGAGCTTCACAGGCACGGTGGGTGGGGAGAGGCCCAGATCTCCTGGTGTGGTGCCATGGGGAGAAGTAGCCACTGAACATGCCAAAGCAGTTTTATGCATGTTGGTGGGCTGGGTGGACAGCTGAGATGGGGAGGGGGGTGTTGCAGTATCTCATGATTGTAAAGGTGTGCGACCATGCATCCAAATTCTGATCATGTGACCAGAGGCATTTCAATGACAGCAACCTTGGGCAAAAATCATACCTCCATTGTAATTTTGAATGGCTGTTGAATAACCCTTGAGGACTAATGTGGCATCATAAGTTAGATGGATAGATTTGGCTCCCTTAAAAGGAACTTACATTAAATTCAGCACTTTTCTTATCATAGAAACCAGTCTCTTCAAGTAGTATCTTCAACCAAGCTCTCATCTGAAGAGTAGATTTAACTAAAGACTGACCATTGACTTACCTGAACGGTCCTTCTATGGGTGCTGCGAGGGGAATCCAATCATGGGTTAACTTTGTCCATTAGCCTAGAGACTGAGTATGNCAGAGAGGAGGAGGAGGAGGAAGAAGAATAGGAGGAGAAGAAGGAGGAGGAGGAGGAGGATTGTATGGTCCTTGGTGCTCTCTGAGCTTGGTGGTTTTCCGGCAAACATTTCGTGACCCAACTAGGAAACATCACCAGTGCTAGAAGGGAGAGGGGTTTGTGGAGAGGAGGAGGAAGGGAAGAGCTGTGGCATCCTTGGTGTTCTTTAAACTTGGTGGTTTTCTTGCACACATTTCATGACCCAACTAGGGAGCTTCGTCAGGGCTAGAAGGTGCAAACGCCACTCCCTTCTAGCACTGATAATGTTCCCTAGTTGGGTAATGAGATGCCCAGAAGAAAACCGCCAAGCTCAGAGAGCACCAAGGACCCCACAAAATTAGCAGTTTATCTCTATTTCTCCCTCATTGATACTTTTCATAGCAACTTAGAAGCGTTCATTTGACACTCCTTTTATACTCAATTAACCTAAGTGAGGTTAGTTGAAGTAATTTCGCTTCGTTGCCTGCTGTTGCCTTCCCTCCTCTGGGCTGCAGTTCAGATGGTTCTCGTGATTTAAATTGATTCAAACGACATCGGTCTTCTGCATTTTTGTTTCTCCTTTCATCCTGCCCTTTACAATATGCACCTAGATTTTTGCTGGTTTATTTGTGGAGAAGGCAGAATGTAAAAGGGGATTTTTGAAGGCATCGCTTATACGAATGCCGATGTCTAGAGGTTTTAGAGAAAACCTAACCATAAAAATTGCCTTGATAAAAAGGTTTAAAAGACTCCGAATGCAGTCAAGGGGCGGATATTTTTTATGGCTCACCCTTGCATCGTCTTGTTAGAAGGGCCAGATCCTTGAACCATCTAGATTTAATCTTGTTGGAAAACTGTGTTTCATCCAGAATCAAATGCCTTTCACTTCTGAATGTCACGGAATGACTAAGATTCCTTTAGAAGATAGAAGTTTTAGAAGAAAACCTCTGTCTTCCAGATGTATGTTCAGTTTTGATGGTCCTCAAGAGGGATGCCACGTTCCTTCAGAAGGACACGGGGTTTGGGAAGACGGCTGCAGAAAGAGCATTCTCTTATTCCTCATGATTTTCAGCTTTTGTTTTTAAGCTGTTTCGATCGGGTTTTGATCAACAGCAGAGGAAACTAATTTAAATCTATGCCTTGTGTTTAGGGCCGGGACGAGTTCCTACAGGGCTTGCTTCTCATTCCACTCTTCTTATAGCGAGGTACGTATCTCCGGTTTCATTAAATTACACTCCCTGGACAACACAGTCGCCATTGGCCCAATTTTATTTATTTGACTTACGAGCAACCCATCTCGCCTTAGGAAAAATCATCGTCTGCATGCTACGAATTACTACAATTTGCGACACAATTGAGCCCAACCTTTAAGTGTTCTGGCCGAGGCTTCCTGAGTCAGTAAAAAGCACACGCTTAGTCCCACAAAACCCTCTTTTTATTTCAACGGCTGTGAATTGTGTCCATTCACAGCCCGTAATGAGTCCCAAATAGTTTGTAAAGAGTCCTACAGTAGGCTGCCAAAGTCTTTCAGGATAAGGCTGATAAGCACCCAGCTTTATCTCCCTTGAAATGCTGCCAAAGGCTTAATTGGCAATTAGCTTGGCAAGACCACACGGAGCACAGAGTCAAAACAGAGCTTCAGAAGGTAAACTGACCAGCATGAACCAAGTTGCTTCCTGCAAAGGCTCACATCCCTTTGCTCCTCCTTTATGTCCTATGGGAGGGGCCAATCAACTGCAAGCCTTACTCGCTAGTCGTCCCTTTTGTCTTAACTCTTCTTGCCTTCTGGCAGCTCTGGGAACAGGGGAAGCCTGTTCTTCTGCCTCACTGATGTCCAACTCTGGAAGCGCTGGGGGCAGCTGATAACTGTCAGACGGTCCTGGCCCCCTCTCTGCCTCCGACACAGAGCCCTCATCAGAGCCTTCCCCAGCCTCCAGGACTGGCCCAGGTTCCTCCCCAACCTCCTCACTGTCCGAATCTGCTGCCAGCTCTGCAGGCCTCCGGCAAACCACAACATTAAGTGAGACATTTGTTAAGTGAGTTTTGCCCCATTTATGACCCTTTCCTTGCCACAGTTATTAAGCGAATCACTGCAGTTGATAAGTTAGTAAGCTGATTGTCAAGTGAATCTGGCTTCCCCATTGACTTTGCTTGCCAGAAAGGTCGCAAAAGCAGATCACGCTACCTTGGGGTACAACCGTCGTAACTATGAACCAATTGCCAAGCGTCTGAATTTTATCAGCTGGCCCCAGGGATGCTGCAAAGGTCATAAGTGTGAAAAATGGCCCTAGGTCACATTTCTCAGTGTCGTCGTAACTTTGAACGGTCACTAAACAGACAGCTGAAAAGTCTATCCATGCTTCTCAAGCCGTTGCAAATCATAAATACAAGGAATTAAGGCATTAAATATTATCAATGCATCCTTTTTTCTCCCCCCCTTTTTCAATCGGCTGTTCTAGATCGAAGATTTCTTGAAGTACATTTGCCCCGTGAATATCTACCCCAATGTGATTCCTTTGGGGTCAACCAAGGACAAAGTGGAAGAAAAGTGAGTCTTCTGTCTTTCCCCCCCCCGCCCCCTCCTCCATAATACCGATAAACTTACAACCTGGCCAGCTAGCAACTATTCAAAACCACAACGGACTTACTGCGAAGCTACTCGCAACACAAATTTGAAGTTCCAACGACGGGTGCCTCTCCCCATAGTTGTGTGACCAGATTTTGGGGGCCACGTTTGTGTCCATTGGCCGTATCCGTCGGTCATTTTATGATGGTTTTGCTCAAACCTTTTCAGCAAAACTGGCGGTTTGGTTTACGACTGCCATATCCGCTTAGCAACCACTGCAAAGAGACAGTGCCATGTTGGTCATGTGACCGATTCATATGACCGTCGCAACTTACAGCTGGGTTTTTGTAACCGTTGTTAAGTGAAGGACTACCTGTAATGGAATCCACACCAAACCGTCCTTCGTTAAACTCTTCCATCCGTTACTTTTATCAAAAATTATTTTGATAAGGGCTTGCTGTCTTTTAATCTAAGGATAGCGTTTTGTTATAAAGTATTCATGACCGGGAGAGACATGGGAACAAGGTCAGCCAATGAATAGACATAGCAACTAAGTCAGCCAATGGGAGCTTAAACAGATCTGAGTCTGTGCAGAGAATTGAAACAGAAACTTAAGCAGTCTGCTGCTCTGAGAAGTAAACAAGCAGTCTCTTTGGGTTTGTCTGCTGAAATGAAAGCTAACGGCTTGTGTTTGCCTGTAACTCTCCTGCCTCGTGTTTACTTGGAAGAATCACCTGTTGGTATTGTACATTTATTCATCTATTCTTATGTATATAAAGAAGTTAATGAATCCGGTGAATCAGTTATATGTGTGTGCTTTCTGGATTTGAATTGATACGGCAAACTCTGACAGAAAGATTGATCAGAAGCTGGG